TTTAAAGGCCTAATGTCATCCCATTCCATACCACCCATTACTAAACTGCACATAGCTTAAGATAATGGAAGTTGGAGGTTTTGTTCACAAATTTGAAAGGATTAAAGAGTTCTTAAATAGAACAGTCCTTGAATGAATCTAGAAATTAAGCTGAAATGAGAGGTTAAGGATAAATACCAAAATAAGCAGTAATTTGTAATCAATCAAAATACTCTTAGTTATGTTCTGAGCCCAGTACCTCAGAAAAAAATGTGCCCAAAGATATGGTGATGTGGGCAAAATGCATGCATAGGGATCTTAATCTTCATGTTCTTCTCTCACTAACTTCAGTTTTCTTTGACCCCAAGATATTTTTTTCTGCTGTACCTTGGACTCTGGAGAAATACCTATTGTCCTCAATCCCATTATCCGAAAGCCTTCTGAATACTCAGCTATTTTCCTTTCACTCCCCACGTCAGGATTTCTATTCCCCTTTCCTGTCGATCTTTTCCAGTGATCAAAAGAATATGATAAATAGAATCATACTGAAGGATGGTTTTGGCCCACCTGTAACCCACCCCACCTTCGTCCCACTTTCCTTTTAAGAAAACTTGCATTAGAAAGAAAATATCTGAAAAAAAAGAAAAGATCTGTAAACCCAATGGAATTTTTGAATTCCTTTAATTTATGGAACAAAGGACAGAATGCTCTCCTGCCATGCATGTTTCTGTAAATGAATAAACTCAAACGATATTAAGTAGAGGGACAATGTCAGAACAGGTCTGACATTGGTTATTTGTTGGTTGGTTTATCCATACTACCAGGCAACGACTACTGAACAGAAAGTATAGTGACACAGTTGAATGCAATCGTCAAAAAGAAATGTTTCACACCCTACATTCTTCTTCCTGGCACTGTTTGGCCATAGGCTCTGGATCTTGAAATGTTTATTACACCTCCTCTCCATTTTGGTGCATTTTGCTTTGTCTCAGTAACTCTTCCTTTTGCTCTTCCATCAAACTACCTTATTTATCGCAGTGTTTATTAGGATTAACATCTTTCTTTAATTGCTACTTTTACTGGTATTCTTAGTATTCCTGGCTACAAAGTTTTGATTGTCCACCCAGCCAATGTTCCCCCATTTACTCTTAGTGCACCATATTGCAGAATGTGATAGAATTTTCACAAATATGTACATCATGTGATTGCAAGGATGCCTGTAAAGCACTTTAAGGACTTACTTCCATCCCATCTTCTTTTTTGTGCAGGGGGCAGCCTGGAGAAAGGAGGACTATTTTCCTTCCTCACAGCTCTCTGTATTCTAAATGTGTGTTATAAGTGATTGTTTTTAGAGTTAAAAAGGTGGCTGGCTACCCAATCAACTGAAATCTTGTCTTCATTTCAAGGTATTATCAGAAATAATGACTGTGATCATCAAAGCTCCCAAAGGAGCACAATTCCAATGTTACTGGTCATGTCTTACTTTAAAAAAAAAAAAAAAATTGTCTTTAGTTAGATCCAGATTTTTGTTTTGTTTTCAAATGTCTTATCCTAGAAGCAAATACAGTATCTCGAGAAATAGTCTCATTATATCTTCTTCTACCTTACCATCACATTTTTCTCCGGGGATCTCATAATCTATGTGATAAGTAACACTTTTGTGCTTGAGAGGAATTTTAAGGTTAGAATTGACTAAAGGGCTGGCTTCTTGTCCTTGCTCCAGCAGAGGGGAGATTTAGTTGGACTGACGTCTACTTTCCAGGCTAAAGAATGTATGCAAACTACTGATGTAGGTAATTTTATTCTCCTACTATATCTCAGTTGCGGGTTACATTTCATTATTTATCATAGAGCTTACTTGTTAGATAGTTGTTTATTAAATCATTAGAGTGAATGCTTCATTGGATGCTAGGACCTATAGCCAGAATGGCAGAAGCTCATCTATTTCATTGCTACTGCACTGAGCATTGTTTCCAGGGGGCCTCAGAAAGAATGCCATGCTTGGCTAGCCCTGTTAGGGAAACGGGTTCAGGGTCTATTTCATGAGTGCCTAGTAATGCCAACCTTGAGATCCTATATACTGAAGGTGGTTGTTTGAGGCCTTTATCTCCAATGGAACTTGCTGAAACGAAGAGGTTGTTTGGGAGTAGGAACTGATATACTTGTGTTCAACTGTTAAGAATTAGCTATGTAACCTTAGGCAAAACTTTCAATATCTGTTTTTTTCCAAGTATGTAAAGCGAGGGTAATTAAATTACCTGCCGTTCCTAACACCTACAGCATCCCCAGGAGCCCATTATCATTTATGTATTTTCCTTTTTGGTTTATCCTATGAACATACCCACTTGGAAGCAAAAACTGTTTTACTGGTTTGTATCCTAAGTGCTTATCACAATGACTATTTCCTGGCATACTCAATAAAATGTCCATTGGTCCAGTGAATTGTAAGTATTTGGAAAGTTTCACAGGTGCTAAACAAATGTAAGCTGTCTGAAGAAAGCAAGCAGAACTTCACCATGTTTTTCCCTCCTTGGGGTGACAGCTCTTCCTGTGGTCCAATGACCGTAGGCAGAGCCAGTTCACAGAGAAGGGACAGTGCCTGGATATTGGAGCATGTCACACTCTCGTCCTTCTGGAGGTGTTGTCACTCCTAAGGGCCTGGGGTTCCTTTGGATCACCTGGTATCGTTATACACTGCTCATCGTACACAGCCATGCTGATACTGCCAAGCAAGACCTGCAAGAAAATCAACATGTTGAATATTTATTCTGTAGCACATTTTACAAATGTCCAAATGCTTCAGGTTTCCATAGTTTTCTGTAATTACAACAGCTAGGAATCACTGAGATCTTACTGTGTACCAGGCACTATGTGCTTGCGTGTATCAACTACATGTATTTACCCTATTCCCCGTATTACGCGTATCACATTTCCATGGAGCAGGTGTGAGAGCACTGGAGACAGAGGTTAAGTATTTTGCCCAAGATCACACAGTTCCAGTGGTGAAGCCTAGGCTCCAGCAGGATCTGTCTGGCTTTTAACGGTATGCTATGGTGCCTCTTGACTAATCGCTTTTATAGCTATATTTTTATGAGAATTCATTTTTCTTTTGGGAAACACTAACAAGGATTATTAAAGCTTACTTGCCTCATTATGAAATACCGACTTTTTGCTTCTATAATTACTGGGTTTTAACTGGTGTTCTCTTTGCATGCTTATACTGGTGGTGAGAACTCCATAGTATCTGCACATTTATAAAAGGGATTTCAAAAACTGGAATTCAGAATGTTTTTGTTTGCCCACATAGCAAATGGATTGTTATAGGAAGTCAAAAAAAGCATCAGAAATCTACCCAAAATCATACATTAGTATTCTAAATAAACGTTCATCTTATATAGTTGACCCTAAAAAATAAAAAGGACTTATTTTATACCTCCAGCTTAAATCAGGCCTACTTTACTATGACTGCACCATTTACACAGACTGTTAACTATCAAAATGGTGACAACTATCACTGTCATGGCTTGGATCTCGTCAAGTCATTGATTTTGTATGTTTCCTCTCCTAATGGAAGGTCTCATGTGTTAACACCACATTTTAGCAAATTGGTTATAATACTTCAGTACTTTAATATGCGATGAATAAAGGAGAAAACTCCTTTACAATAAACAAAACTATGCTGAATTACTTCAAAGACCACTTCTCACACCTGTTTTCTATCAGCATACAAAAGCCACCAGTATGAAGAAAAAAACATACATTAAGCATAAACTACCCTGAAGCTATATCCCGAAAGGGTTGTAACACTTAAGAACCGACGATATTAAGAAGGCAAAAGCATTATTAAGTCGCAGTACACAAGACTTCTTACTTCATCTATAAAAATAGAATGCCAATGTTTTATTTGCCACAGGGATAAGGAGGGAAACATCCGCGAAATAAATTTGATAACATGACTCACACTTCATTACAAATGATTTTCCGAAATTCACAACTTTCACATTTGGCTGAGCTAAAAAGAAAAAAAAAAAAAAAAACAACTCAACAACACTAAAAAAGGAAATTTCAATTGATGTAAGTAGGCCAGATCACATGATCTCCCCAAGTGAGAGTTTAAGTGAGTGCATTTCTCTAGCCGGGAAAAGATTTTCCTTAATTTAAAGAGCCTAAAGAATTTACCCAATATGATGAACAAACCCCTTGGGTCAGGTTCAGAAAGCCTTCTGCCAACTGGTTTAATAAAAGTCACACAAAACTTTATTATGTAACATACACGAAACATTGCCTTGGTTAAATCTTAATAGTAAAATCAAGAATAAAAAAAACCCATACTACTTCACTGTCTTTCAGATGTTTCTCTCCTAAATGTGCCTTGTTGATGTTGGGGGGGTATGCTGCACAATTATATATGGCCTATTTTACTCAAAAAGGAGAAATGTGTTCGACTTTAGCACCCTATGGAAGTAGTTAAGTGTAAGAACAGGATAATTCAAACTGCTTCCTCACTCTCATTACCAGAAGCAAAAGTTTATCTAAAAAAACAAGGAGGAAGAAGCACTGAAGCCTAGAGGCACCTAGGAAAGGAGGGAATTTCGAGAATGAAAGAATATGGCTCTGGAGAGATAATATTTAAGTCATAGTGGAAATTTATGGAGTCTAGGTAAACCCCGTCAGCCTTCTCCCTGGCTTCAGGTTTGGGTGGGAGACGTCAGGGATGTGCACGGAGCCTTCCTCTGTGTTTGGCTTCCTTCCCGCGAAACGAAAGAAACAGAAATACAAGTGCTTGGTACCACATGCTTTTTGAGGCCCAGTAATAAACAAGCTGTTTCCATCGTTGGGGGCCTCGGGGTTCACTTTTTAAATAAATATCGCCGGGAGAACCTCCTGGGAGGAGGAGACTCCAGTCCGCCGGCCCCCCCGGGAACCGGGCGCAGGCAGGGCGCGGAGAGGCGCTGCGCCCACCCGCGGGCCGGGCTCCGCCGCTGCTCCGGGCCCCTGCGCCCCCGCCCCGCGGGCCGGGCCGGGCCGGGCCGCCTGGGGGTGGGGGTGGGGGCGGGGGCGGCGGCGGCGGCGGCGGCGGAGGAGGCCGCGCTCAGTCCTCCATGGCAAAGTCTTTGGTCTTTTCCTCCTGGTCGCCCACTTTGTAGCGCAGCAGCACGCGCAGGAGGCGGTGGTTGTCCCGGGAGGGCAGCAGCGTGATCTCTCCGGAAATGTCCGTGTCCTGCTCCACCGGCACCGGCTCGTTCAGGTAGAGCAGCGCTTGCTTCCAGTGCGTGACCGGGTGGAAGGGCGAGGTGGACAGCACCAGGGGCTTCTCCGCGTCCCCGCCGGGGAAGGTCACCTGGAACCAGACGGCGAAGCCGTGCATGGGCGCCGAGCCGTAGCAGCTGAAGCGGAAGCGGCCGCCCACGCCGGCCTCCAGCTCCTGCTCCAGGCCGCTGCGGGCCAGCTCCAGCCGCGCGAAGCAGTGCGGCCGCGCCAGCACGTCCTCCCCGGACAGGCCCTGCACCACGATCTCCGAGTGGCCCATGAGGCAGCGCGTGGCGAAGCTCTCCAGGCAGCTCATGTCCACGCCGTAGAGCTGCTTCACCTGGCTCCAGAAGCCCAGGCGCAGCTCCAGCATCTGGTCGCTGACGGGCGCCACGAAGAGCTCGGCGGACGCCGGCAGCAGCAGGCCGCCCTCCTTGAGCCAGCGGGCCCGCGCGTGCAGCACGGAGCGCAGCATGGACTCGTGCAGGAGCCCGTAGCCCATCCACTCGCTCACGATGGCGTCCACCTGCTCGGGCAGCTCCACCGTCTCCACCGGCCCCGGCAGCACGTGCACGCGGTCCTCCAGCCCGTTGAGCCGCACCACGTCGCGGGCCTGCTGCCAGATGGCGCTGGCCTCCACGGCGTACACGCGCCGGGCGCCCGCCTGCACGCAGAAGAGGCTGAGGATGCCGGTGCCCGCGCCCACGTCCAGCACCGTCTTGCCCCGCAGCCCGGCCCAGTTCCGCAGGATGCCCAGGCGGTAGGCGTCGGTGCGGACGCGGTCCGCGATCATCTCCTCGTGCACCGAGATGTCCGCGTAGCACTCGTAGTACAGCTGGTCCCGCTCCCGCCGCGCCCTCCGGGGTCGCGGCGGGGCCGCCTCCGGCGCTCCGCCATCTTCCTCCTCACTTCCCTCCCCTCCTCCGCCGCCGCCCCCCGACTCAAGCTTTCTTTTCTTGGGCTGCGACATCTTGGCGGTCCCGGCCGACTCCCGGCGGGCCTTGCGCGGCTCCGCGCGGGCTCCGGGCAGCGGGGGCTTCTGGGACTTGTAGTGCCGGCTGGCACCGCCCACTTCCGGGGGGAGAAGCCCGGAGCGCGGCCCCCGCCGCGCCGCGGAGCCCGGGGGGGGGGGGGGGGGTCGCGTCGCGCCGGAGTTCCGCGAGCCTCTCCCTCAGCCCCTCCGTTGCCCTCTGCCTCCGCCCGCGCCCGCCGCGCCCCGAGGTGAGGGGCGGTGCGCACGGTGTGAGCGCCACGAAGAAAGCCCCGCGGGTGGGAACCGGCCCTGGGCCGCGAGGAGACCGCGGGCCCCGGAAGGGCGGCCGGGCCGGCCGAGGAGCGCGGCCCCGCGACCAGCCCCTGGCGGCGGCAGCCCCCTGCAGTCCCTCAGGCCGCAGCGCGGGGACGCGAGGTGACGGGGACGCGAGGTGACGGGGCGGGCGCCGCTGGAACTCCACGGCTCAGTCCCTCCTCCCTTGTTCGGGTTTTCGTTTTTAAAGACCCTGTTTATCCGTTCGTGAGAGACCCGGCAGAGGGGGCGGCAGGCGCCGGGCGGGAGCCCCACGCGGGCCGAAGGCGGCGCTGGGCCGCGGAGCCCCGGGCTGCCCGCCTGCCTCGCGGGTGCTTCCCCGCGGCAGCCCTGTTCCCCGCGTGTCGTTTGCGTGGACGAGGACGAGGTATTTTTCCTCTTCTGTTTCCCTTTCATCAGCCGTCAGGGGTTCGTTTCTTCCCTCCCTGTTGTTCACGGCACAAATAAAATACACTTTGAAAGTATGTGCGGTGTCCCTAGGAGTGTCCGTGTTCCCAGCACCGTGCGAATAGAATTCCCTCCCAGCTTAAAAAAAAAAAAAAATGACATTGAAAACAACTGACTTTGTTTCCCTGTAGTCTCGGATTCTGTCCATTTAGCCGACGGGCCTGTATTCCGTATCCGGGGACCAAAGTCCCTTCACCGCTTTCTTCCCTCTGTTAATCTCGTGTAATGGGATAGGTTCATTGGCCCGACATCCTCAGCCGTGCTTCGTGCTTCGTGCTTCGTGCTTCGAGGGCCCTCCTCTTGCTTCTCAGCACCCTCAGCTGTGCAGCCTTTGAGAACACCCACGCCTCTGTCTCACCTCAAACTAATCAAGCCAGAACCGCTTCACGGGAGCCCGCGCGCATGAAGTTTTAAAAGCTCCCTGGGGTATTTGAATGTGCAGCCCGAGTAAGAACCACTGTTTCTCCCTAAAATGATCTTAGTTAAATAAATCTTGCTTCATTATTTTCATCGGGTAAATTATCTCCCCTCCCCTCCCCTCCCCTACCCCCCCAGGGGCCTGGGCTCAACCATTTAAGGCTAAAAGTCTTCAAAACAGTTTGTCTTTCTGCCCAGTTTGATTCCTTGTTTTAAGAAAACCGAGGTGCGGAGCAGGCTATGAGATGAGAGTCAGTCGTCAGTAAATGCCTAAATGCCGTCGCTTTAATACGACACCTCTAAGCTGCTACTCAACTCGGTGCACCCCTCTCCCATTCTTTCCTCCCTCCAAATCTTTTCCCTCCCCTTTTAAATGCACTCGCTCCTCCAACCAGTTTTCGATTCACGTACTTACGGTCTCTTTTTTAAGAGAATTCTGAATATGTTTTGTTGGTTCTACTTCCAAGATACATCTTGAGTCCATCTTCTTTTCTCCTCCACTGCCAGCACCCTAGTCTAACCTTCCATCTTTGCTTGCCTGGAAGTCGGTCTCCTAAGACATGGCTTAGCTTCTCATCATGCCCCTTATCTATTCGGTTGTCCACATAGCTATACGAATGAGCTTTAAAAAACCCAAGTTAGACCAAGCCATTCTCCACTAACTCCCCATTCTAGGTACTGAAACAATCTAGTAGCGTCAAGTAGCTTCCCATCTCATCTCATGCTACTCTTCCCAGCTCCTCAGGCTCAAGATATGCTGGCCTTTCTGGCTCATGTCTTCACTTACGCTCTTCTAGGGCCTGGAACATTGTTTTTTTTTTTTTGTTTTTTTTTTGTTTTTTCCCTTAGTACTTGACTTCAGGGGCTTTCTTTCATCCATCAGGTCTCGGCTTAAATATTACCTTCTGAGAAGGGCCCTCCTTCGCTACTTTAAATATATTGTTTTCTGATACTGTTTATTTCTTTCATAGCTTTTACAATTTCTGTGTTTACTTGTGTATCTATTGTTTTGTAAAATATAAACTCCAAGAAGCTTGGACTTTTGTTTCCCCACTATTGTAGTTTCCTAGCCTAGAACAGATCCTGACACACAGAGTGATCAGTAAATAGTCTTCAAGGAAGACTGTTGTGGAAACACTGAAATAGCTATTCACAGGGGAAGAAGAAGAGTTTTGGTTTTTTTTTGCAGTTCAGTATAACAATTTGACTCTAGTAAACTCAGAGAGAAATCCAGATACAGATTGATTTTAGGATGCTCCTAGATAGGAGAGTTGTTTTGTTTTCAAACACTCTTAACCTTTCTAGACAGAATAATGGTAAGCACTAGACATTATGCCCAAAGTAAAGAAGAAATGCCCTGTGGCACTTTCCCTTCCTGCGCCTTGGCTTGGTATATAGAGAGATTTCTTTACTCATCTTTTCTGCCTCACTGAGGTGCTTTAAGTAGGAAAGGACTTTAAATCATAGTCCTCCTCTAAGGAGTGTAGCTCCAGCAAACCACGTGGATGGGAGAAGAATTGGAGCTCAGCTGTCAGGGCATTCTTTGTGTTTCCATTTCAGTAGTCTACTCACCACATCCATTTGATGCTCAAACTCCATGTTTTTCAAACAACTGTATCTTGAAATTGACTTAATACATCTTCACCAGCATTAAGCAAAAGGAAATAGAAAATATCAAATGCATAAAATGAGTAAAAGGTGAGTATTATTTCCATACTCACTGGTTTCAGTCAAGTATACTGTATATGTTTTTCTTGCTTGCTCTAGGTTATGGTTCCAAAGTTTGACATCCACAGCTTGCTGTTCTCTGAAAGCACTGTGAATTTGTACGTTTCTGTAACTTTGTTCTGGGTTTGTCCTCTCGCTGGCTTGTATTTTTGGATAATGCTCAAATGTTACTATTTATTTGTAGCTTTTTCAACCAGTCTGTGACTGACAACACTTACATGTAATTCTTTTTTTCACTTATCCCCTTTGTACCACAGCCACTTACATATCTGGCCTTTCCATGCCAGGTGGTGGATATTTGAAAACCAAGATTTTGTATTTTTCACTTTTATATTGAGAATCTACTGCATTGTGGTGGAGTCAGCACCATTCCCACATTCCTGATTGTTGGTCCTGAGTGCACATGGGATCATACATGCGTTTTGTATGACTGGGAGAACCATGATTTTCTACATCACGCACATTTATGTATTTATTTATTTATTCAATAAATATTCTGGGCTTCGACTCTGCACTAAACATTGTAGAAACAGAGGATATAAACAAAAAACAAAAATCTCTACCTTCACAGAGCTTTTATTTTTGTTATTATGATGTTAGTTATGATTCCTATGTTGCCTTATTTAAGCGAATTATTAGATCACTTTTAATTCTCAGCTCTCTCCCCTGTATTATTTTTTCTTGAGTTTGCTGATGCAATTGCCTCCCACAAATGCTTGTTTCAAATTCCTTTCCTCTTTAATGTGAAGACCTGTTTAAAAATGTATTTTAAAGCTTTGTATTAAAGTTGAAGGTAGTTCCTTCAGGATTTCAAGAAGTCATTGTAATTCTCAAAGTGTGTGTGTTGGGGAAGGGTAAGGGAGCAATGACATGAAAAACGTTATAAATATCTCTTTGGTATGAATATTCATTAAGTGATGTAGTTCTTACCATTCTGTAGTTACTTAGAAGCTGTCAGCGTAGAAAGGAGCACTTCTACCTAAAAAAAAAAAAAAAAAAGAAAAGAAAGAAAGAAAGAAAGAAAAAGAAATCCTTTGTAGAAAATGAAGGCAAAAGGTGGTGGTTTTTATATTTAAACAAATTGGAACATCAAACATAAAAAGCCTACATATATGTTATTCTCTTGATGTATAGAGTGTCTTTCCATGGTGTATTGGCCCAGCTATTCAACCTACTACTAAAACAGACGAATAGCAAATTTACAGCTCCCTGATGATGTTATTGTGAGAAGTCTAATTCTTTTTAAAAAGGTTTGTATTGAATTGTTTAGGTAGTCACAACAAAGATATTATGAACTTAATCCATAATTATTAATTTGACTTAAATTTATTGAGCCCTCTTAAAATACAGAATGCGGTACCTTAACAGATTCAAGTACAAATATTGGTTATGACATTTTAACAACTTCTACTATAAATCATGCCACTATAATGGAAACAGTACTAAAATCCCGGGAATGTAAATTATAATATGGGAGAAGTAACATATTAGTACATCTGTGAGATTAGCATTTGCTCAAGTGCCACAGGAATAATGAGAATAGCTTAATGAAAATTAGGTATTAAGCTTAATGAACATTTAATAAGATCTTCTTCTCTCTCTTTTTTCTTTAAAGAAAACCTTTAATATGAAAGAAAGTCAACCAGTTGCTTCAACCAGATGCTTATGATCTCATAGCATTTTGCTACTGAGGACATTTCAAGTGCAGAGACGTAAATGTAGTCACCGTAGACCTGTGATTCCCAAAGTGTGGTTTCTAGATCCACAGTGTTAGCATCACCTGGGAAATTGTTAGAATCACACAAGCATGAACCTCACTCTCTATGTAACGATTTAGAAACTCCTGGGCTAGGGGTCTGTCTTCCTTGTTCCAACGGCCCTTCAGGTAATTCTGGTGCATGCTGAAATTTGTGAAGGATCACATCAGACAATTTGAGGTGTATCAGAACCAGGGTGAGGCCAGGTGGAGTTTATGGGCTGGAAGGCCTATTATTTTTTTGTTTATTTTTTCCTATTGCTGTGTAACAAATGACTACGAATTTAGCAGCTTAAAGCACCAAACTTTCTTTCTTTTCTTTTCTTTTTCTTTTCTTTTCTTTTTTTTTAATCTCCTAATGTCCGT